CCCGTGGGGTGTGTGGGCCCTGCCTCTCGCTGTGGGGCAGCCAGGCCTGCCCCTCATGAGGTCTCTGCCCCCCCATCCCGGCCCCGCGCCCCCAGTGGGGGGTTCTCCATCCCGCCCCCGTGTGTATTTTGGGGCTCCTCTCCCGTCACTCCTCAGCCTGACAGAGGCCGAGCTCGGGTGTAGCTGCCGCGGCTCAGCACCTCTGAGGAGCTGCTTTCGAGCTGGAGATCCTGTGGAAAGGGAAGCGAAACCTCTGCTGTCATTCTCGCCCGGTTCCCCGCTGGGACCTGACGCCTGGTTTCGCAGGGAGCCCTCTGGTTTGGGGTGAAAAGAGGGATGTCGTGACAAATCTGCTTCCTTCCGCAGCGAGCAGGGGTGCAAGCGGGTTCTCGCTCGCGCCGCTTCGGTGCCGTTAACGAGGAGAATCAAGCAGATGAGCCCCGTGATGCGTCGTGGGGGCATTAAACAGGTGGGGGGGTGGTGTTTGGGATGCGAGAGGCGGCTCAGGCATCCGTCGCCGTTTCCTCTTTCTCCAGAGCTGCAGAGTGGCAGTAGCCAGCGTGGAGCGGCAGGCTGCGGATCACGGCCAAGGGCAAGGTGGCGTTCATTAAGCTGGAGGACAAGACCTCAGGTAAGGAGGAGGGAAGGCAACAGCTCGGTGCCTTTTGAGGGGGAGGAAGTCACCCCAGAGACTCTATGCCCTGGTGTTAACCCGCTCCGGTTCCTCTTTTTCAGGAGAGCTTTTTGCCCAGGCGCCGGTGGAGCAGTTCCCCGGCATCGCCGTGGAGAGCGTGACGGACTCCAGCAGATACTTCGTCATCCGGGTCGAAGATGGCAACGGTACGTCGCGATACTGGGGGCACAGCGGGGGGGAGCTGCCCCAGGGCGTCTTCAGGGCCCTCGCTGCTCTTGTTCCCTTTCTGCCAAGGGCTAATCATTCCCTGCGTATGGTGGGAAAGGGACGGATTCTCTCGCTCCCACCGCGCTCTGTCCTTCATCGGCAATAAACCCAGTTTTGTCTGGTCGCCATCACGACAAACTTATCCACCCCGGTGCAGAGAAGCCGGCACCTCTTTACTGCAGCGCTGGGGAGCACGGGGGATGGCTCCACCTGACGTGCTTCAACGTTACATGAAAAAATTCAGCATTTTATACCCTTTTTCTGCAAATTCACGGTCTTTAACCTATTTTAACATCAGCATGCATGTTATGCCCACTATTAATTTTGACATTTACCATGATTGGTCCACCTTATTAACTAACTTCATTAATATTCCTATGCTAATACAGTCATTGGTTATCTTACTGGTCATGATCTGTGGTAATACAAATCAGGATGGGGAGGAGGTGAGGGTCTTCACCTTAACATTCCTTAGTTTCTCTGGTTTCATCCCATAAGATAAGACGTGCCGAGAATGGGCACTTTCACCCCCTGTACCTGTCTCCTGCCTCCCTGTTCTGTTCCGGACAATTTCACAACCTGCAGCAGCTTTAGCTTTGACCTTCTTTGCGAGGCAGCAGCTGCTGTTTCTGAGCATCAGGGAGGTTTTGGGTGTTTCTTACTACAACGTAAACTAATATCATCAATACGTAGCGTCAGTTGTTCCTTAAAGCAATTAAGTCGTTCACTAAAAGCAATTGGTTATCAGTGAAAGTAATTATCTATTCAGAATGCAAACTGGATGGTAACTGTTTCATTTGGCCGCCCGGCGTGCGCGTGGGGCCGCCCCTGTGCGCAGGGTCGGCGCCGTGGGGCCACCCTCGGCTTGGACTCGCTTCTGCCGATTTAAAAGCTGGTTTTGCTGAGCCTGTGTGCGCAACCAACCAGCTAAAGGTCCATCCATCCACCCCTTCCCTCAGCCCCCGGGGTCCCTGCTCCAGCTGGAGGGGGCGGCAGGCACGAGGGCGGCTGGGGTGGGGTACCCCATCCCTCTTCCTCCGCTCCTTTGGGACTCCAGCCCTGACTCTTCCTCCTCCCCCAGGCCGCCGTGCTTTCATCGGCGTCGGCTTCGTTGACAGAGGGGATGCTTTTGACTTCAACGTGGCTCTGCAAGACCATTTCAAGTGAGTTCCCTCTCCGGGTCCTCTCAGCTCGACTGGTTTGCAGGGTTTGTTTTTTTTTGCAGGTGTCCTGTGTGTGTGTGTCCCCCCAAAATGGTGGGGGAGGGGAAGCTGCGAGCTCCTGCCGCGCTTGAGCGGGCAAGCGTGGTGCGAAGGGCTGGAAACGCCCGTTTCTCTGCGCAGCCTTTGTGCCGGCAGCTCGCTCCCTCAAACATTTCCCAGTCTGTATTACCAGGGTCCCAAACTGGTCTTCCCAGTGTAAAACTGGGCAAATTCCCTCATTCCTTTCTTTCTCTTCCTGTGCTACCAGTCAGGGGCTGCTCCTGAGGGACTGGGATGCTGCTTCAGCTCCTGGCAGCTGGTGGGGGTTTTGGGGGCAGGCTGGGATGTGCCGCTGGCTGGAGGCTCCGTGCGGCTCCGGCGCCCGAGGAGTCGTTCCCTGTAGCACGGCGCTCGGGCAGGCGGAGTCCCGGGTCACCTCCAGCTCCCTCAGGGATGTGCTGCCAGGCAGGGGGGGTGGGTTTGGGCAGGATTGATCCGGGAGAGCCTCAGGCTGGTGGGTGACGTGTCCTTTTTGTGCTTATTTCGTCCCTGCAGGTGGGTGAGGCAGCAGGGCGAGCTGGCCAAACAGGCCGAGAACCCCCAGCAGGGACCCAAACTGGACCTGGGCTTCAAGGAGGGGCAAACCATCAAACTCAACATCGCGGTGAGGGCTTTGCCCGGCGAAATCCGCCTTCCCCTTGGGGGTGGCACGAGAGGAAGCGGCGGCTTCTCCCCAAAATCCCTGCGCAGGGGGAGGGCCGGTGCAGAGCCCTTCGGGATAACGCTGCGTGCGGGGATGGGAGGTTGCGTGGCCGTTCCCAAAACGGGGCCTGGGGGTTCGTGGTGGGGATTTGAGGGTAAAAAACATCCTTCTGCTGCGCCAGCTGGGGGATGCTGCAGCGCTGCAGGGTTTTTTTTTTCCCCCAGAATGAAGCAGTTTGGCTTCGTGTGGGCCACGGCTGGGAGGAATCCCGCTCCAGCTCTGGATTTAAACGTGGCACCGCCCAAGTTTCCCCCTCTTCTTTCAGAATATGAAGAAAAAGGAAGGAGCCGTGGGAAACACCAGGCCACGTCCTGCGGGTCCTGGGGGCCTGAGCTTGCTCCCACCACCTCCTGGAGGAAAATCGGCTTCGGTTTGTCCTTCCGGAGAGCGGCCGTCTTGG